CTCCACCCTATCACAGAGCCAAACCCGGTTTAGGGTTCAGCGTTTATGGTTCAGGGTTTTTTCATCAGGTTCAGGCTGCAGGGTTTAGGTTTAGGCTTTAGGGTTTACTGGGGATCCAAAAGACTACTGTTTTAGGTGCTCTACCCTTTAATTAAGGGGTCAGGAGTTACTGCTTTGTAGGCTTTGGGGTTTCAGGTTGAGGGTTTAGGGTTTAGTTTAGGAAACCCTGAACCCCAAACCCTAAACTCTAAGCCTAAACCCTAAACCCTAACCCTAAACACCAAACCCTAAACCCTAAGGTTCAGGGTTTAGGGAACCGACTTCCCATGGAACCGCCCGGGTCGCCTTGAGGTCGCCTTGCAGGGACTCCTCTGGCGTGCTGTAGGGGCCAAAACCACTTTATAGGACAAGTCCAAGGTATATATATATATATATATATATATATGTATATGTATGTATGTGTGTGTATAGGGGCCGTGTTAACTTCCTAGTACAAGTATATGGGGACCAAAGGACATCGGGGCCAGGATGACTAGAATAGAACATGGTTTTGGTGGCATTTGAATAGTATCGGCAGTTATTCCGACCCTTACATGGCTCTCAGCTGCCCCTGTTAATGAGCCAAGGGGAGGCATAGGGTTCAGGGTTTAGGATGTAGTGTTCAGCTGTGTGAGTTTAGGGTTTAGGGTCCTTGGATTTAGAGACTTGCAGATCTTAAGCCCAGGCTTGGGAAATGGAATTTAGGATCACGTAGAAACTTAAGGTTCGAATTCGGGGTCATCGCATTGGAGGTTAAGAATCACAGGTGTGGCGTTTAGAGTCTTAGAGTTTAGTGTAACACCAGATAACCATACACTCTCCGAAATATAAAGCTGCCAAACTACCAGCCTGAACCCAAGTACCGAATTATGCGGTCCTTTGGACTCTTAGGGTATGCATGATACTTGCTATTCCCAGAATGTGCCAGAGTAAATGAGGTATAACCTTAGTTTGTAACAAATGACATGCCCCAGGATGAGTATCTCACCGACAGTCACCAATGTTATGTTCAATCTGCAGTTTGCAAACAAGGTCACTGGAACATTGCCAAGCAATCGATGGAATTTCTGCGCGGGATCGTCGGACCCCGTTGACAACTTGGAACACAGCCTCACACCACAAGGACCCCCCAATGTACCCTCTCTGCGGCCGCAGATCTGTTGCGAGAGGGTAGGCCGGTCATTTGCATAGTAGACTAGCTGCGGGGGCTCGTGGTACATATTCCCCAGCTCTCTCAAACACCACGCCGCTGGTGAAGTCCCCCCAAACCCAAACTCGAAAAAACTTAACCCCAAAGCCCTAACCCCTAAATCCCAAAACCCTGACCCTCAACCTTCAAAACCCTAAACCCCGAAAGCCGAAACCCTAAACCCCCAAACCCATAAATCCCCAAACCCTAATCCCTTAAAACCCCCAGTAACCGCCTTGCTCCGTGCAGGCTCTCGATGCTCGGGGGCTCGTTCCGGCTCTGCCTCTTCGGCTCACTTTCGGGCTTTGACGGCTTTATGGTCCGAAAACATGTATGGCAAACGATAAGTAAGCCGTAGTTATCATTAGCTCCCGTTGCTTATGCGTCTCCATCGGCCGAACATCCAAACAGGCTCAAGAACTATCTTCGAGGTTGATGATGGGTCTGGCTGCAGTGTCATAGGGTTTCAGTCTCATAGGGTTCCAGGGCACACACTTTGAGACTGTATGAGCACACTAATACTGCAAGATGGTTCCCAATCGAAGCCGCAGTCACTCCAGGAACTGTTGCGGGCATCGCCTCGCTGTTATCTGTGAGCTCCTCCTGACACGCAAGATGTGAGGCACGGGCTTGGGAGGCTTAATCCTTCCGTGTGTGGTATCCTAAAGCCATCCTTCTGTCCGTGGTACCTGTTACTCTCTGCTATTTGGGCGAAAAGACGATTTAGAGGCACCTTCTTGCAAAACCCGCCGGGTTTCTCTTTGCCCGCATCAATCTGCAGATGCGGCATCTTCGAAATAAATCTCTCAAAGTAGGATTCTGGCTGCGCAGATCTGAGATCTAGGCAAATACTCCGTGCCCTGAGACCCAAGGCTGAAGGTGCCCTAAGCCGTGCAGACCTTAACGGTCCGAAAACTGCACACCCCTAAAGACTGAAGTACACCCTACACCCCAAAATAAACCCACACCCTCAAGCCTCAAACCCTATACTTGTTCTCCCTAACAGCATCAGCATAATCTAAACCCGAAAGGCCCGCGCTGTAGCAGTCCTCATAGGTACTTTCGGACTAATTGTATATACTAGTTGGAAACATGAACCCTTAGGGAATCGAACCCCTACCCTACACCCTTAACCCTACAAGGATCTCCTCGGACCGCTCGTGGTTCGGATCCCACACCTGCGGCAGAAGCCCAAGATCTTAGACTTTGGGAGCTTTTCGGGGGCTTGTGGAGGTGAGGGTTTCAGGACTTATGGTTTTAGGGCTTAGGGTTTAGTGGTTTAAGGATTAATGGTTTTGGGGCCGCGGGCTTGGGAATGTAGGATTTAGAGATTTCGGGTCAAGGAATCTATAGGGCTTATGGTTTGAGGCCTTGATAGGGGTTTAGGGGTTGTTGCTGTTGACATTCAACGCACAGGGTTCAGGATCTCTGGATGTCGGGCGTTCTAACAACTTGGACTTTGGGGTTCGCAAGACCCTACCTATAGTCTCCATTGTAGTTCCGTTTTTTGGTTTAACCATATATATATATATATATATATGTATTTAGGATCCTATAATGTAACCCCCAAAAGGAACTACAATGGAGACTATAGGTAAACCCTAAACTAAACCCCTGGATCGGACCGGGGCTTCCGGGGCCAAAGTCGCCAACGAAGGGTGTCCAGGCATGCTGCAAGGTTGAAACATTCCCTGCCCGGTATGAAGCATTTCATTGGCATGTGAAGTGACTTGGAAGGGTTGTAGACAGCGAGCTTGAAGCGGTACGGCAGCGCGTGCTTCACGAACCTGTGTTGAGATTGAAGAGAAGACCATTCAGGCATCCTACACCCTGAACCGGAGCTACTGCAAGACAGATTCATGTCATGCTGCTGTTCTGTCGAGTACGAATGGAAGCCGAGTTCAAAGCCCCAAAGCCTCACAAGTCGAAGGCCCGGCCTAAGCCCTAAACCATGCCAAAACTCCCCAAGTACCCATGAACTAATGGAGCACATAGGGTCCGTAATAGTGGGATTCGAAAGTCTTGGAGGGTAGTTGGGGGTCTAGGTATACCTTAAAACCCTAAACCCTAAACCCCTAAACCCTAATGTCAAGTTTTGGGTCGCGAGCCCCGAATCGGAATCGCTACTCCCAAAGACTTCGCGGCACACCATGGGGGGGGTGTACTTTATCTTACTTGTACGGGAGCTAGAAAGGGGATGATCCTAGGGTTATCTTGAAGTTGATGGTTTAGGGATTTAGGGTTTAAGAGTTTAGGGTTTAGGGTACTAATTATGGCGACCCTGAACAATTACAAACGACAGCTACAGCTCACCTAGCTTTCAACACAGAACGGTGATCTTCAAGAACTGCAACACTACATTGAAACGCCCAGACTGGCGAAAGTGGAAGAACATATCACAGGAAATTCCATGAGTCAGCGCTGGCTGGCAAACACTTCGCACCAGCACACCTAGCTCCAATACGCCCTAAACCCTATAATCCCTAAACCGTAAGCCCTATAATCCCTAAACCCTAAACCCTGAAAACCTTATAATCCCTAAACCCTAAACCCTATAATCACCAAACCCTATACCCTATAATCCCTAAACCCTAAACCCTATAATCCCTAAATCCTGAACTCTATAATCCCTAACCCTAACCCGAATGTCCTCGGAGACTGCTGACGGCCGGCGGTCTGAAAGGCCCATCGAGCTTCTTGCGATTTCTATTCTCCAACCAGCTTCAAGATGCATTTGTGCTGCAGCTGCTATCATACTTTCCACCCTTTCAAAGGGCTGATGATGCTGCTGCTGGCTTGTTGGGATAGTTCCCAAAGGCTCCATGTACCTTTATAGTAGCTACTTAGGCCTTAAAGGGGTCCCTATATAGGTACTTTCAGGCCTAAGTATATACTATACAGGCACATGAAGCCTTAGGGATTCGTAGGCTGTCTTGATATGCCATGCTTCTGACCTTTGACCTGCGCATCATTCCAGCCAAAGGAGCCGCTGGCAAACAGTCATGCCGAGGAGCTTTCCTACTCTGATGGAGATTGCCACAGCGGCTACTTGGTCAGATACCATACCCTACACCCTCAACTGCAGTGTGCAAGGCTCATGCTGTGAATGCACGAAAAGTATAGAACCACAAGTAGCGCTTCTAGGGTTTAGGGTTTAAGGGTCGTAGTGCCTTCAAGTACCTGCAAGTTACGTCTTCCAACCCTCTTCGCGAGACCTTTGTCCGGCTATTGAAGCAAGAGACTCAGGGTCTAAAAGCTGTCTCGGGGCATTCTCGTTCCCTCTCAGGCATCCTGTTCTAGAGTCCTTTGAATTCGTGCGGACGACAAGGAGCAACAATTCAGAGCACGGCAAGAGCCAGCACCGTAAGCTATAAACACTCGTCTGTTACATGCAACCCATCGAGCGGAGCGAACTGAACTATGTGAGATTTCGTTTGCGGAAATGGTCCAAGATGATAGCGCTCTTCGGGATGCAAGGTAGCATGTTTTCCACACCGCAGCCGTTCGAGCCCCGTGAGCACATGTCAAGTACTACTTACCTATGCCTTCCACCGATGCTCGCAGGATTTCAGGGGAAAGCAAATGGGCCAACTCATTCGATGTGGGCTTTGGAGCAGATTGTCTCCCGGCTTACCTACATAACGACAACCCTCACAGAGCTAACCTTCAGTGTCCATGTATCCAAACAGTATATACTTTGGCTCTAAAGTACGTACATGGGTACATGGACCGTTTGGGTAATCACCAAAGCCACCCCAAGACCATAATCGACTCAGTCGTGGGAGCCGATGGGCCTGCGTGCAGCTCGTTTGCTTTTTGTTTCGACGTTCGGGGTATATAAACAAATGCGAACGGCTTTCCCGTATATGTAACAACATATGTAATAGTATACTGCACCAACCGCTTTTTGGCTTGAGGGTCTGAGTGAAGACATCTATATCTGTTTGTGTATCTGTCTGCCTGAATGAAATCGAAATCCACTCAAACCAAATCAATTCCAATCTGTTCTATGAGAACATTAGTCTATCTATATATCTACCTACCTATCTATCCGCAATGAACGAAATCTGTACATGCATACAAGCATGCTTGCTTGCTTGCTTCCAAGCAAGCAAGCAAGCAAGCAAGCACACATAGTACATGCAGACAGACATACGTGCCTACGTACGTATTTGTTATTTGTTCATGCATGCCTGCACATGCATACATACTTGCATGACTGCACCGATGCATACCCCTACTGACCTGCCTACTTACCTACCTACTTAGATACATACCTGCATACTCACTTACATAGAGACATGCATACAGGTCCATCCATCCATCCAGCCAGCCAGCCAGTCAGCCAGCCATGCACGTGCGCACGCACGCACGCACGCATGCATGCATATGTAATATGAATATGCATACATACATGCATAAATGCAGGCATGCATACATACACACATCATACACAAATACATGACCCGTACATACATACATACAGACAGACAGACAGAAACAAACAGACAGGCTACAGGCTTACGCATCAACACTTTCAAGCAGCAGCAGCGATTTTGACTGTATTCAACTACCTTACATACTGAAGGTTTCAAAAAGCAGCGGGTTTCTGAATGTCTTCAAGCTACATGAAGCTACACACCACCACACACGCTGCATTTGCCAACACTCCCCTTCAAGACTTCTGTACAGGACTTCGGGTTGTAATGGCACATACCTTGGATGACCCAGCCCGAAGAAACATGGTATAAACAGGCTGTATGGCTAAAGAGTTGACTTGCAGTTGGTCCGGACTCAGACTCACTTACAAAGACTGAAAACCCAAGACGACAAACATGTAAGACTGGCTGAACTGATCCGAGACCCAAACTCCATGGCCCAAGAAAGATAACCCAGAACCCTTCAGAATACTACAAAGGCCTCAATATTTCTCGACTAGGGTTTTGGGCATATCATACTATAACTATAATACGGACCCCCCAGAAATAGTATGGGAACTTATTTAGGCCCCTATATTTTCGAGCCCTACTATAGATCCCTTATAGTAACCCTTGTAGACCCCTTGCAAGGGAACCTTACTCTAATTGTTTAGGCCCCTCTAATTCAAAGTCCCATCCGGGGCACACACCGCCGTCTCTTCCTGCGCCCCACCTTCCTGCACCACCCAGGCATGTCGCTGTTCCACGTTCTCGAAGGCACAAGACACATGCGAATACGCGGATATCCAAGACAATCAGCACTGGACCGTGAATCCAACCTACGGTGATGCCTTGACGCAGACTCAACGCCAGGTCTTGTCAAAATGTGGGATGGAGGCAAGCCATCTAATTTCATCGGTCACAATCCGAGGCTTCGCCTTGGGAGTTTAAGATCATCAGGCCAGAACCATCAACGGAAATTGGGCATTCGGAATGCTGCCAGGGCTTGAGGCTTTGCGCTTTCCGGATTGCGCTGTCGGATACAGGGATTCCAACTAAAACCCAAATGCGATATCTCGCGACACTGAAAAAGATATTCGACACCCACCCGGTGATTTGAAGCTTCCGGAGTCCCCGTGGTGAAGTCCGGATCGGCTGGGAATGTATGGCCAGCCCTGGCGCAACCCAGACTGGGAACCCCCGATACTGCTTGAATTCAAGCATTTATCTGGAATTTCTGTCCGTCTTGCAGTCTTTTCGAATCGATGATCCACGATGCTGCTTGCATCAAGTTCAGTATGTTTAGACATCACAACGAAATACTTTTGCAGAGGATCATATGTGTTCAGCGATTCTGTTTTCTGCACTTGCACGTGCTACAAATTCTTGCGGTCTTTTTCGCTCACTTATTGATGCCACCGACTAGACGTCAAATGCTTTAGGACAATAGTGAATTTCGTGCCTTCCTACCCGTCCTAACATGTTCTGCCAGCTACCACGATTAGCATGCATGATGACAAACCTTGTCTTATCCGATCACAAGCATAAACACGTGATGTCACATGCTTCTTCGGCAACAGCATGCGAGCGGATCAACGAGCAGAAGATGAACTCATTAACTACATAAGTACATAACTAAGAGGCATCTAAGATATGCATATAGATACGTGCCAGCATAGATACATACATACATACATACGGGAACGTATGTATGTGCCTGCTTTTCGGCTGCTTCTTCATATTGGTACCCATGATGCTGATACTCACAGTTTATTGCTTGGTGCTCTCGTGTTTCTGCGAGGATTTGTCGCACTATGTTCCGGCACAAACATCATTGTGGCAAGGCGGCTTACCATTATGAATGCTCGTGCTGGTGCTGCCGCTGCTGCTGCCGTTGCTCTGGCTGCTGCTGATGCGACTTCAATAATGATAGTGGCCGTAGCAGTAGCAGTAGCAGTAGTGGCAGCAGTACTGGTAGCAGTAGTAGCAGCAGCAGCGATAGGAGGAGTAGTTGTGGTAGCAGTAGTCGTCGTCGTAATGGTAATGACAGTGGTACGTAGAAGTAGCAGTACTGACAGAATAGTTATCAGTAGTCGTAGTAATTGTTGTTGTAATAGTAGTGATATTAGTAGTGATATTAGTAGTAGCAATAGTAGTAGCAGTAGTAGTAGCAGTAGTAGTAGTAGTAGTAGTAGTAGTAGTACAGTAGTAGTTGTTGTAGTAGCAGCAGCAGCAGTACTAGTAGCAGCAGCAGTAGCAACGCTAGTTGTTGTTGTTGTTGTTGTTGCTGCTGCTGTTTTTGTTGTTGTGCTGCTTCTTCAAGTTGTACATCTTGCCTGTAAAGTGTAACTGTTGCATTGTGAATTTGGCCGTAAACCAACACAGCATTCCCTAGAGCCTAAATTTCGGGTTGATCTTCTTACAGTAACGGTTTTCCTACGTACGGGAAACCTGCGGAAACCTGGTGTCCACACTTTCGGTTTTGGATGCCAGGGCTACAGGTTAACGTGGTGCAACATTGGGTTAAAGGAAAACAGCATGACTCGGCTTTCATAATGCACTGCTGGAATTGCATGTGCACTCGCTTGCACAGGCTACAGATGAAGATCTCAATCTTAGGCAGGTAGTAACCAAAAACCACAACGAAAGGCTGCGGAACCATCACGCACCCCGCCCCTTTCTCAAACTAGTAGGCAGGGAAGGAATCCATATGGAAAGTGTTGCAGAACACTGAAGCTTTCCCACACAGGTCTTCAACAAATCGGCCGACCATGATGCAACTGAAACGGAATGCCGCTGTTCCTCCTAACAAAGTGCATCGCTAACGGAACGTGTTCGCAAACACAACAAACACTGCAATATGCTTCAGTGACTTCAGTGTTGTGGCCCTCGTATGATGATGCCCACCTTTCACACCAGCATTGTCGCACATCAAACCATGGGTAAGTGTTGTCCCAACACGGTCGAGATGAGACGTATGAGCTCTGGACTGTAAGAGCGAAGCGGGAACTGGGAAACACACCGCCAATCTTGTCGGCACTTCTGCTACTGGACCACAAATGCGGAGGCTGGAACATGCTTGCAGTTTCATTTTCACACACAATAGGGGCCATCACGTGCAAATTCACTTTCGCGAACAAACGGGCCATCACGAACACTTACCCTTAACGCATGCTCTTTGGTCACGTATTCTACAACTGTACAAAGCTGACCGTTCACGACCGCATCTTACCCACAAAGGCAAAAGCTGATTGTTCGAATGTTTGTGCCAAACTGGGTGGATGGAGTTTTGAACAGCTCTTGCAAGCTTTTGTGTGCCTTGCAGTCCGAAGAGATTCAAAAAAAGGATTCACGAAGACGCGAAGGGTCTGAGTGTGTCCACAAGTCAGTGCAAAAACTCCATCGAGTGCCGCTGAAGGACAGCGCGAGCGTTGCAAGAACACAATTTTTCAAACAATGGCTAATGCGAGAAGCTGCAACCTAACATGCGCTGTGTGACGTTGAGATCCCGTGAGCCGCCAAGTCTGATTGTAGAACGTGCCAAGCTGCGGTGAGGTTGTCACCCACCATTCCTCATGCTGTGTCGAAACTGTACATGTGGGGCACTGGGTGAATGGAATATAGAATATTGTATTCCGACATCGTGCTAGATGCCTTAAAGCCGTCACGAAGTAACTCCATAAGCACATGGCCCTGAACTCAGCCATGTATGGCCCATGAACCCGTACTTGCCGGCCCACTTCGCGAAGCACTGTATCTATCAGCTCAACACATCAGGCTGAACGGTTCTATCGCCCTGCGCATTCTTCCAATCGTTCCGATCGTGTCTGCATCAGTTCGGTATTAGTACAATTGTAAGCCTGAACACTGGCACCTTCAACCGTACAACCCACGTCCGGCTGTCAGTGTTCAAGCGAGTGTCGGATAAGTCTGTGCCATGCAATCAGTTACAAGTAGCTACGATGGCTACAGCGACGACGGCTGCTGCGATCGCTCTGGACTCCACAGCACCATCATGATTGCGAAGGTGAGGGACCGTGTAGTAACCCCCGGAGTATTCGTGGGCGGCTTACCCTTGACATGAGGAAGGAAAACCCTAAACCCTAAACCCTAAACCTTAAACCCTAAACCCTAAACCCTAAGCCCTAAACCCTAAACCGAAACCTGCTAGAGCAATGAAGGCAGGATTGCTCCAGGCGCTCCAAGAACAGGATGTTGCCGCCCGTGTTCCAAGCGGACACCTAGTCTTCTACAAGGGCAAAGATCGCGTCTAACTACTCTACCCATAGGCCCCAAAGTAGTTCCTTTTTGGGATTACCTAATAGGATTCTAAATATGAACCCCAAAAGGAACTACTTTAGGGCCTTAGGGTAAGGACTCTAGGGTGCTGCTCATTAGTCGGGGTCGGATGAAGAAAATTGTAAACACTGAGCACTGAAGCTTCCTAAACACCAAACACCAAAGCATCCTATAGACACTGGACACTACAGCACTGACTCTGAACGTATGGGCATTGCGTGTTCGGATGCAAAATCCTGGCACTCTCTGCCAACATCTGTTGGCTGCACAGAGAGACCCTGAAGACACAGACCCCCAAGAAACACGATCTGCATAGTAGGGAGCACACCCAGCATTCCGCGATGTCACCGTAGTGCATGTCCTTGAAGTTTTTCAGGGCCTCGGTCAGGCATCTCAAGCGATCAATAATCAACTTCCCATGGGCCACAATATCAAGAGAACCGTTTCGAGCCGTAGTCCTAATTGGTATTTTTGTCCAAGTAACCATAGATCAACAGGAAGTTCACTCGTGCTGGCAGAATGGTTTGTGGCAGGCTACGTCCCGCCAGCACTACCGGAGCAGCGTCAAGTAGTGACTCACTGACGGGATGGTTCTTGCTGGATACATGTATGCACTACATGATCGACACTAGACCATCCAAACCAAAGGCTACTATAGAGGCATTGCAATTAGAATCGGGTTTGGAGTGTATAATATACTATAATTACAATAAGGAGCCCTCAAAACAGTATTGGCAACTATCTAGGCCCCCTATTATAAGCCCGAGCCATGACCTGCGAACTTCAAGAGCTGGCCATGGTCTTTCCTTGAGAGTTCTGGTTGCAAAGCTATGACTTGTTGATACTCCTGAGAACTTGATGATGTTAAGGGGAAGGGCAGAAGTGGTTCGACCGAAGGCTTTCGAGCTGCAGAGTCAGCCTCTGTCTATCTATCTATATATGTATATATACAGATAGAGAGAGAGACAGAGAGAGAGAGAGATAGAGAGAGAGAGAGAGAGAGAGAGAGACAGGGAGAGAGAGAGAGAGAGGCTTTGACAAAAAGAATAGAGCTCTGGCGTGTATTGCAGTGAAAATCAGCAAGGGGCCCTAGAGAACAATGTTGGTATCTACTCAGACCTGCATATTTCTCGCGAAAGGTATGCCGATGTTGAGTTGTGTTACGCGCCGGAGACGCTTGAGTTCCCTTCATGATCTGCTCTGACACCGTGCTTTGGAAAGATCTTCCGTTCCCCCTAGACCCTATGTTCCGAACCCTAAAACCCCGAACCCTAAATGCTGAACCCCTGCTAAGCTATACCCTATACCCTAGTAACCCTAAGCCCCACGCACTGCTCTGCAACTCGACACTCAAACCATGCACATAGAGCCCAAAAAACCCTGAAGTCTGAATCCTAAACCTTAGGGCTTAAGGTTTCGGGATAGTCTGGACCCCAAATCTTAGCTTAAGCCCTAAAGTCGTAAGTGGAGTCTGTCTCCCCTAAAAACCTCACCGGAAAAAGATCACAGAACCGTAGGAATATGTCTGCCAACAGTAGCGAAACGAAGCAAGAACAACAACTGGCTGATTAAGGTTCAATTTCCGATAAACCCCAAAGCCTAAGCTCTAAACCCCTCTCCCTTCACTTCTTACCTCCTGAAGAACCCTTACATGCATTAACCATTTACTATCCAGGCCCCCCGGAAAAAGCGGGCCGTACAGCCGTACGGCACGATCCTTTGATGACACCCGGCCCTGCTGCCTCTTCTCGGCTGACGACGCCTTGACGGTGCGCTCCAAGGTTCAGCTTGAAATACAGAGCCGCCTGAAGCGTTTAGGATTTGGGTTCTGGGCCCTGGGTTTACGAAGGGCCTAGTACAAACCTTCAACTCTCAATGTCGATGTGCATTCTTCGCAATCAGTCTTACCGCTGTCGCAATCGTAGTCGTCGTGGACGTCTTCGTAGTTGTGCTAGGCGCCTATGTAGTGCTAGCAGGAGCAGCATGAGCTGCAGCAGGATGATCAGAATGAATGCAAAGAGAAGCTGCACCACTTGCTTGTATTAACGCGCACATATACACAGCTTGTGCCATACTTTACAACTTTAGCAAAAGTTGCACAACTCTTTCTGTTACACAAGTTCTTTCCATGCAGAGGTGTGCAGGTTTTTGCGGTTTCAAGGCATTTGGGTACAGCCAAGCCAGCAACGTCTCAGAACTTTAGCCAGGCCTACAGCACGGAGCTCACTGAGTGCAGGGTTCACGGTTGAGCGATGAAGGGTTCAACGTTCAGAGCTTGCGGGCGTCTCACTTACGCAAAGGATCCATGCACCGAAATAGTTTTCACTTTTTCTCCAATGTATCTAACTAGGAACTACTTTATAGGCCAATGTATGTATTAGTTGGGTACATTAACCTAGGGTTACATAAGGGAAATGGGACACAACTAAGGAAGCTCTGAACCTCCCCCGTCCAGGTTGTCGTGGTGCCGAGATTCGGGGCGTTCTGTTGCTAGCTCTCAGGGTCTCAAAATCCGAAACACCGTATTGCAAGCCGTAAGTTGCACCACCCGAACTCCCAACCCGAAGGGTCCAAGTAATCGGATTGTATATACGTTTGGGGCCCAATACCGACTAAGTACCTACGATAATGGTACTTGGATCCCTTGGGAGAGCAAGGACGAAGCAAAAGGTAACCCTGCCTCTGTATGTGTGGCGAGCATCGCCTGGCCGGCAGTGCGAGGATTCCCGTCCGCGATGCCCAGTGTATCGGGAGTAGACAACATGTTTGGTGAGGCTGCGAAGCGTCGAACGAAGTTCGTGTTTGGGAGGCTAAAGTGGGGACCCGTCACCTCAAGAGGGGCTGGACGAACAACCCTGCAACCCGAAAAAGATTGCCCACCATCCGTCCGGACCGCCACAGCCCTCACCGAACCGTAAACCATGACTCAGAAGCTGCCCCCACCCTGTAATAGTGACTATAAGGATTATAGGAGGGCCCTATTATATTCCTATTATACCACTATTACAGGGTGGGGGGGCAGCTTCTACACACACCATGACAATGAAACACTGAAGCTGCCAACCTTGAACTCTAAACTACATGGCAGCTTCCGAAAATAGGGGACCCTAATATGGTATCCTATATAGTAGGATCCCTATTATAAGGACCCTCAAATAAAGTACCCCTAATTTTGACTCCCACATGCCAAATCGTCGCAAGCATTGGAACGGGCGGTATCGGGGGATTCGGCGCTTATGGGGCTGTTGGGACTTACGAATTTACTGCTTCGGGTGTAAACCGAGAAATCCGAGGCCAGGAGTTTCGGCACAAGGCAGGCTTCCGGGCCGTCATTATGTTGGTTTAAGGTTTAGGATACAAATCCTGCATTACCTTAGGGACCCTAAACTATGGGAGTAATGGCATATTCCTTATTTTGGAAAATGCCGGATTTATCTCATCAACCGTATTATGTCGAAGAGCCTGATGATGCAGTTCTCGAGCCTATACTGAACTTAGAACAAAAAGTATAATTTTAGCTGTTTCTTACGGATTATAAATATAATAACCAACGATTAAAGATTATTTCTAAGTGCCCCTAAGGAGCCCCCTTTAAGAAGAATAAGGCCTCCAACTCATCTCAGCTACAAAACAACTACTTCAACCATGATTCGTCATCATAACTGTCATCAAAATCATCATCAACAACATAGCCCATGAATCCTGAACCGTATATGAACCCCACACGTCCCGCCTGGAGTCGCAGACCCCGCCTCTCAGCTGCCTGAAGTAACGGGGGAATCCCCCACGGCCATGAACTACTCTGAACTACAAACGGACTAGTAAAAGGACCTGGCTCAGAGCTGAAAGTATTATGGACTTTGGAATTCAGGATTTTAAGGGCTTTCGACAGGCGGGCACTCGGCACAGGTTGCTGTGCATTACAGGTTTGCTATATATGCCAAGACATTCGGCAGCCTCACGGCGGTGGTAATAGTGAGAATCAAGGCCACAGCAGCACCGACAAAGCACCGATCCCGTTGCACTAGTGCGGTGCAGGACTGCTCGTGTGCGGGTTGCCGGCCTTTGGAGAGGACAGGTGCAGATTCATCTTGGAATAGTTTACGTACCTGGCCGCAGCGACAACTCAGCCGTTGCCAGCACAACTTCTGCAACCGCATGTGGTGCGTACACATAAGACTGTTATCCAAAGGCGTAGAATCAGATATGGTTATGACCTCGTCGGCAACTGAATGGAGACGTAACCCTGTTTGCAAAGAGGCATATGACGTTGCTCTACACTGTAGGCCCGACACCATGAACCTAGTCCGCGTACTCCTGTGAAAATCTCTGTCGAAGCATGTCCAAACAAAGCCTGTCACCAAAAGGGCGCACTGTCGGCTGCGTGACAGCACGTTGTTACCGGTGGTGTCGCCTGCAGGTGGCTCTAATGCTGTGAAGGTACGAATGTGAGGACATGAGCATGGTGAACACGCAGAGACATGAGCAATGACCTTTAACAGCATCACATATCAAGCTGCATGGGCCAATGCCTACTGGATATTCCAGAAGACTGACTGGCTTCTACCATGAGCATTTGACTATGTGCTAGGTCACGAATGTAAAAACGTATGTAGAATTCCATGCAAGCATCGCTCGCAAGAGCTGTGCCCCATTGATGCGTGGGCTGAAAAAGCTCCAGACAACGTTCCTTCCGATGCAAGGACAGTCAGGTGAAATTATCTGGGCTTTGAAGTAAGCAGGGAGATAACGTATAGACTGTTATTTCATAATGGTTCCCTTTAAGTAACAGGTCACCAAAAAAGTATTAAAGTGTAGTACTCCAAAGCCCAGTTATATACTACATAGCCACATGGACCGATAGTAGGGTTAGCAGACTGAGCAGGCATTTTCGGCAAGGACGGAGGGAAGTGTAAAGGTAGCTTCAAAAATCTGCAGCCTACACTGCAGCTTTGGTGAACCCCACGCTCACAGCCGCAGGCAGGCGTAAAATGGCCTAGCTGATCGCAAAGCCGCCGATGGAGCAGCGGCAGGTACATCACATCCTTCCAGGAAGCCCAAAACCTAAATCCTGAGGCTAGGACTTGCATTGTTCAGCTGCTCGTTGAATTTTGCTGGCGTTTTTTGGGCTCAGGCGTAAGGTGCTGGAACAACATTACGGCCGAACAGTGCGTGTTGCGGAGTCTGCAACGACTGACAATGAATAGCGATGAGTGCCTTGTGTCTGTAAAATGGGCTGTTATTATGTTATATGGCGAGACCCTAGCTGTAGCACGATTTTTTGCTGAGCCTGTTCCGCATGTAGCATCCTTTCCGAAGAAGGCGGTGCAGTAATCAACCAACAAAACGTGCTACACGCCAGGGTGTGGGTCGGCTAAGATGGGGCAGAGGGTTGGTGTGTAAGTTTATCCGATGAGGGCTTCGGGACACCAACAGGGAATTGATAGGGTGATAAATCAGCTGGATTTCGTGATGTTGGCTCCGGGTAGAGAATCAGCATCATGACAAATATACGTGGATATCATCCCTTGGCTTCTGCGCCTGAGTGGCATAGGCTAAGAGGTCTTCTTGCATTGGACGATAGAACCTGCGAGGGCATTTTGGGCCCTTTGGGGTTGACAGGCTGGCTTTGAAGCTGCATGGAGCTTGAGTGGTGCGCTCCTTCAGAGAGCGCCACTTGCAATGCCGTGCTAATTGTACAACCCCAACACCCGAAATTCAAGAACACTCAGAACAATATCCTACTAAACACGAATGCCTCCTAAATCGAAAACCTTAGACAAGACCCCATACACCCGACGTAGTACATCCTGGCCCTGAAACAATACGCTTAAACTGAGGTTCTTCGCACGTGCTTGTGAGTTTGTAAGTTTACTTCTGGATGTCCGGAAGAGTTTTGAATCGGCAGCCCAAGATCGAGAGCGCGAACCGTAGATCTCCGACAACCCGATGATGTAATTCGATGAAAGTGCTGGGGTCATTATATCAAACCAAATTTGGAATGTTCAGGCTTCCATATTAGCCCGCACACCCGAACACCTGCAAGTTCTAGACAGTGGCAGAACCCCAAACCTAAAAATCTGAGGTTTGTAACCAACAACTATGCAAGCCCAGAAAGCCTCAAGCAAGAACCTTCCAGCCTGTGTTGGGTTTCTCGAGAGGTTGCTTTAAGTGGTCACACACTATGTATGCATATATGTATATATATGCATATATATATATATGTGTATATATATATCATATGTATATATATATATGCACATGTAGTACTAGCCTTGGGATGTGTGTGGTGTTGTGTGCTTCTGCAGCAGTGAGCATACGGCGTTTTCGTAGAAGCTATCTCCTTCGCATGAGTATAACGTAAGGCAAACATGGCATGTATTGACAAACCCTAAACCCCTGGCTTCATGCCTTGGCTTTCTGCACCCTTCTAAGTAGACATGGGCCTGACTTTTCGGATTCCGGAATCAGAATACGGGGTTGAAATTTCAGAACTGAAACTGCAGCACTGCCGGACTCAGATGCTGAGGGCACCCCTTGGGTTCTAGAGAATCTGTGTTCGGGCTCGGGGATTGGATTCGGGAGAGAGTTTACAGCTTCATGCTTTGGGAGAGCATGGCTACAAAGATGACAGTGGGGGAATAGTGCATGAGCAGGATCACAGCACGTCAGAGCTCTAGCTGCACGCGCCTGAAGTTTATTCGCTGTGGAACAATTAGCCAACACATACGATACTTAAAGGATCATGGGACTTAGTAACTGAGTTATTTTTAGGGTAACTATACTTATAACCCCATTTATGGTACTTATAACCTTACTTACTAAGTCCCATGATCCTCCAAGTAGTCAAGACCCAAATCCCGGAACTGATCGATGCTTGTTTGCGATCGAGGTCTGTACGCGGGCGAAGTGCGTCAAAAATGAAATAATCGTTCTCACACCTCGCCCTCATGGAGCCCAGATACCTATATTTCGTGACCCAGGAACCATAATATATATATATATATATATAGAGAGAGAGAGAGAGAGAGAGAGAGAGAGAGAGACCAGCGTCACCCTCAGGGCCCGCTTTTGTCGTATTCGCTATCTATCTATCTATCTATCTATATGTATATATATATATATACATACATACATACATACATACATATGTATTTATAACCATATATATCTATATGTATATGTGTGTGTAAGTAATAACAGTGTACTGCAATATTCCACACTGCACCACACTATGCTATAATCTACTATACACTACCATACTCTATCATACTCGGTTATTATAGTCTACGATCCTCTACTACTACATGCTACCATAATCTACTATACTCTACTCTACGGTACACTGTTGCGAAGTATAGTGCAACCTAATACAGTGTTGTGATTTAAGAACATGCAAAAGGCTACAAGTTTAAAAGACATCAAACTTTATTGTCTTGTCCTGTACTATATAACATAACATAGCACAATATGTTCTGTTACAATAACTGTAAGACGAGATAACATAGCATGATCAACTATAGCAATACATGAGACATGATGTAACAAAGTTGTCTAAAGCAGCAGAGGCTGGAACATAAAACAACACAACACACCGTCTTTCCGTACCACAAATTCCAACCTGATAAAGGCCGTTAGCATGCATTGCGTATAGCATAATGTAAGAAAACAGAGTGGTTATATATCTATATACACATGTGCATTTACAGATATATATATATATATATGTACATATGCATGTGTCTTCCTTGATCTATACGTTTATTTCTCTCTGCACATGCGTCTATCTGCTTATCTATCTATGTCTGTACTCTAAACCTGAACCCTTAAACCCTTAAACCCTAAACCCTTAAACCCTAAACCTTAAACCCTAAACCCTGAAACCCTAAACCATTTATAGGTAGCTGGGCCCGCCGGGCTCCTGAATGTCTGCAGGAGATGCTCCTCACAGAACCCCCATGCCGCCTACGGCGCCTTCTCGCGGCTTCTTCAAGCGACGTGGCTGCTTTCCCTTCTCTGTCGATCGGAGAGTTTAGGGTTTCGGGTTTCTAAGGGTAAAAGGAGGGACCCTTAATAAGGGACCCCTAGGTATATACCCTTAATATAGCTATTATATACCCATTTATATAGCCCATTATAGGGTAGGGGTCCCCAGTGAGTACGACAAGCCTCGGCCTTAGTTGTGAACTACTTGCTTCGGAAGGCGTCTGCATGAAAAGTCGGACTAAATCTGCACAACAAAAGTGTCCACATGAGGTGGAGTCGTGAGCGGTGCGGAAATGGTCAATGCCTGACCCACCAAACGACCAGCGACTCTCGCTCATTCCCTCCTGCCTGACTCGAGCCAGCCTATGCCAAACTTGCAACCACTCCGAACTGGATTGAGAACAGTGGTTGTTCTCGCTACAGCAAGTGCCGAGCTGTGAAGGAGACAGCGTAGGATCATTCAGCTGATAACACTTAGGTTCAGGGATTTACCATAACTACTACCGATACAACATGGTTGGAGCAGAAGAATGCTCCCGATACCGCTGCTGACCCGCAGATGTACTCACTCTTCAAAACCACCTTGGGCCCCATACTGGCCCCACAAAAACCTGACCTGGGACACAGAAGTACATGGCCATAACAATTCGAACAGGGTTTAAGGGTTTAGGGTCGTAATCACTCGAACAGGGTTTCAAGGGGATATATTGCAGTACCATATAGATGAAATCTGAGGAACACTGTTGTTAATTGCTTAGGCCCGTGCATTATGGCATCTGGCGACAGAAGCCCTGAAGTACGAGTATCTCTGTAGAGCTGATATCCCGAGCTAAAACATTCGCAAGTCTTCACCTAACACAGAAGTCATGAACACGGGAATAGTGTTGCTTAGGATTCCTGCACATACATATATATATATATAATGCGTTGTACCCAAGAACCCTCATCCGAGTTAATTTGAGGGCTGCCTTACTAACCCATAAGGGTCCATGTACCCATATAGAGATACATGGGACCCAATGTACCTATATAGGGACTACATCAAGGCCAATGTATATACTATATGAGTACATGGACCCTTAGGGTAACCCAAACCCGAAACTTCTGATTCCATTGCATCAACCTTCTTTGAACAGCAACTTGAGGCCTAGATACATCAACAGATGGGATGTGAGATATTACGGATAATGCGGAGACTCTTATCCTACATCTTTGTTCGACATCGACGCGTCGCACGGCAACGCATATGCACACCTCGGCACTGCATCGCAGCAAACAGGGAGTGCCAGGGGCACTGTCGCATACTGAAACGTCGAAACATCCTTCGGGAAGGCCTTGCAGTCGCTAAATTGCAAAGGCAAACTTCCTGACTCCCACCTGCTGCAGGCCTGTTGGGCACACGATGCGGCTGCATGAACAAATCGTGCTTTTTCCCTCGCGCCGGTGGCAGCATTAACAAGCTACGGCCACTACCACAACCCAAACCTGGCCCTAAACCCTAAACAGTGCCTGCCTAAATCGCCAGCTACCGACTTGATCAGCTCGTGTCAAGGCTAGTTCGACTGGTTTAGGACCCTAGCACAAGCCCTCTTGATCGCCGTTACAAGCCTAGCCTAATGATTTGGGGTCCCTTTACTACACCCTCGAAGATCTGTGAACTATCATGTCACAACCTCTTCAAAATCATCCTAAACCGCTCCAATAGCTAATATAGGGGCCGTAACAATTCGAACGGGGAAGGAACCGTCGAAATCGTAATTGTTGAGGCCCCTACATAGGGCGGCCGGTTGATGAGCCAGGGCAGATGGAAGCAGGGCTCACTGCAGGAGCTTCTCTGAGAGCTCCGGCGCCTGCCTTTTGTGAAGGACGTAGGCTCCTAAAGCGGCAGCGTCTCTGAAGTAATGTAGGGGCCTTAATAGATAGAATAGGGTTCCTGTAAAGGGGTCTATAAGCGGTGCTGATCTAATTATAAGGGTACTCTCATGTAGGGGCCTTCATATTTAGAACAGGGTTTGGGGGCTATATTTACAGTAAGGAACCCTACGAAAATATTGGTGACTTGTTTAGGCCGCTGTATTACCCTTGTCAATGACACACGTCTCAAAGGCGCCAACCGTGAACATCTAGGCCCTGAGCCCTAAACCCAAGGCCGTAGACTTAAACCCTGATAGCACAGCCTTAAAGCCTAAACCCTGATGGCTGAAAGGCCCGAGCCAGGAAACCACTAAACCCTAAACCCAAAGCTTCAAATCCTTCACCCGGAAGCACATGGGTAGTTGTCAAAATTAGGATCCCTGTTTGGGTACCATAAATATTAGGTGCCGTATTATAATAGGTACCCAAAAAGGGACCATAATTTTGACAACCACCCACATGAACCTCTCCAGCCCTGGCAGCAAGGATCCTGCACCTACCAAAGCGGCCACGCCAGCGAAGGCCACACAGGCTTCTGTGGACGTCCAGGCCTTCTCAAAGGGATTTGAGAGCTCGGGGTCAGAAGACTAGTGTCGATTTCAACAGTCTCTAAAAATTATTTCTAGTTAGTGCTCCCTACTAGGCAAGAATAGCAAATTCATGAGTTATCTCAAATCGATGCCAAGG